CCTTCTTCCTACGGGGGTTTTTTCGCCTTGTGGCCAAAAGGGGTTCTAGAAAAAGTAACCTCACAGGGTGATCTGGGAATAAAATCCTAACTGGGCAGGTCATGGTGAGTAGGCACGCCCCAAGCATATCACCTTTTTAGTGAAAGGTTTGTCTTCACCCTAAGCCAGCCCTGTCCGTTGCTCCCCTGCGTCCAGGTTAACTCGCCTTTGCAAAAGGAAAACCACCCTCAAGAGAGCACATGATCTTGTTAATTCTCCCGTAATCCAACCCCTACCTTGCTTTCTCCCACCTTCATGTCATCTTCAATTCAAAATGCAAAAAGAAGCTGCGAACTGCCCTTCTAGGAGCACGTGGACAGACAGCCTCGAGTCTTTGTTCCGCCCTGAGGGTCGCTATCTGCCCAGGGGCAAGGCGGGGAAAATGAAGGTCCAAGTTTAAAATCGAATTGGATCCACAAGACCCGTGCAGGAAATCATGAGAAAGGGGAGGGTGGTGGGGCTGGGGGGGAGAAGAGGGGTGAGCCCTGAGGTTGGGGTGGGGGTAAATGAACTCCAGGAGCGCTGAGACTGGCGGACAGCACCCCTCCGGTGCTGCCTCCTGGGCCCCGGGAGAAGCCCTAGGCCTTGGCCGGACTTGGGCTTTGCAAACAGCTGTTCGCCCAGTGAGAGAGATGGTGCTAAAGCTCAGAGCCAGTGTCCAAAGCGACCTGCTCTGCGGTTCCCAAACTCCGCGCAGGGAGGATTTCTGAAAGGAACACAGCGACGCCTGTCGGCCACCACCTTGGAAACTACCAGCTCAAGGCAATTCACGTTTGAATGTCAGATGTAGCTTAGCTGATGTCACAACTTCGTGAAACTGGGTTTATGGCAGTTGTTCTGATAAAAAGCAAGTATCAGCAAAGATGAGTGCGGAACAGTCAAAGAAGGTGGTGACGTCCAATCTAATTCCAAGATCTGAGCAGCTGTCTAGAGCCTACTCACCCCATTAGTATTTACGATTATTTAAGAAGGAACTCCCTGGCTGAGTAGCTCAGTTGGTTAAGAGCACCATCCTGATACACCAAGGTTGGGGAACAACAAATCAATGTTTCTCTCTTTCTCTCTAATCAATTTTTAAAAAGGAACTAAAATATTTTTTCTTTCAATCTCTGTGCATTTTTCAAGCAGCTACTAGGTTGTTAGGACATACACGCTTATTAGTTGTTTTGACCCAACTATTTATTTATATATATATTTTTTTTATTATTTATTTATTTATTTACTATTTTTTAAAATTTTATTTTTGTTTAAAATATTACAGATGTGACCCAACTGTTTAGTAAATATAACTGTTAGGTGTCTTTTGTGGGGGGTG